TCAGTGGATTAGATCATTTATTTATTTATTTATTACATTTATATCCCGCCCTCCCAGCCGTGGCTGGCTCAGGGCAGCTTACAACAGGATAAAAACAACAATAAATATTATAATAATCACAAAACCATGTAACAATTACAACATTAAAAGGTGCTAACAATAAGTAATACCATCAAACAGATAAGTTCAGCATTACATTTGGGATGGGGCTCAGACTTCCGTGCCATCCTGGTGGTTGATCTCGATCTAATATTGTGCGGGTGGCTCAGGCTGCCTCAAAGATTTCAGGGAACAGGGCATTCTCCCGGGGCGGCTCCTAATTGAACGCCTGGCGGAACAGCTCCATCTTGCAGTCCCTGCGGAACTGCATAAGGTACCGCGGGGCCCTGATCTCCCCTGGGAGCTCATTCCACCAGAGAGGAGCCGCCACTGAGAAAGCCCTGACCCTGGTTGAGGCTAGCCTGGCATCCTTTGTTCCGGGAAGGGTGAGTCGGTGTTGAGACCCTGATCGCAGTGCCCTCTGGGGGACATGTGGGGAAAGGCGGTCCCTCAGGCATGTAAGTCCCTGACCATAAAGAGCTTTAAAGGTAAGAACCAGCACCTTAAAGTGAATTCAGTATGCTATCAGTAGCCAGTGCAATCCTTCAGCGCAGGCTGAATGTGCTCCCGTATTGGGAGGCCCATCAACAGCCTGGCTGCAGCATTTTGCACCAGCTGTAGCTCCCGAATTTGCGATAAGGGCAGCCCCATGTAAAGAGCATTACAGTAGTCCAACCTCGAGGTGATCATCGCATGGATCACCATTGCCAAGTTGTGTTCAAGGAAGGGAACCAACTGCCTAATCAGCCAAAGATGATAAAAGGCCGACTTGGCAGTGGCTGCTACCTAGGCCTCCATTTTTAAGGAGGCATCCAGGAGCACTCCCAAACTCCTAACCTCCGGTGCTGGCACCAGCAGAGCCCCATCAAAGGTCGGGAGTGGGATCCCTACCCCTGGTCCGCCCCGACTCAGGCACAGGACCTCGGTCTTCATCGGATTTAATTTAAGTCGGCTCAGCCTAAGCCAACCAGCCACATCATGTATAATTGATATTTTATAGTCCACATCTTGAGCTTCTTCAATGAGGGATGGTTCTTACTCTGATCTAACCCTTCCCCTGATTTAACCAGGTGAGCTCCTGAGCTACTAATACACAGCAACTCCCCTTCCTGTTTTCTTTAAGAGAAAATTTGCCTGCATTTGAAGAATGAGCTAAAGCTGAATGATGAATCTACAGTTCAGTATTATATGAACTTCTATGGCTCAGTCTTCTTTCACTGCTTTTAATGTAGGTCTTGTTTCTTTACCTTGACATTTTATGTTGATACATAGAGATCGTAATTAGGACATTGCTTTGGTAAGCATTGTAATGATGCATAATAAACACTAATTATTCCAGAATCCCCCAAGAGCTTATTGTCAACAGACAGCAAAGCAGGTGGGTGAGCAAATAAAAAGAGGTCATAGAGAGGAGATTAGTAAGACACAGTAATACAAGGAAGTGTGTATGTGTACATAACAGTGCAGGCATGCATGGAAAAAAACGAGTCAATAACACTGTTATCTAAGGAATTGCATTAGCATTATTGTCAGGTTTCTGTAGAAGCTATTGGTAAGTTGGCTAGTTGCTTTTGTGCCAGTACATTTGGAGGAAGGATCTTAAGTGGCATCAGTATGAATTTTCATCGAATCATAGAGTTGGAAGGGACCTCCAGGGTCATCTAGTCCAACCCCCTGCACAGTGCAGGAAATTCACAACTACTTTCCCCGCACAACCCCAGTGACCTGCTGCTCCATGTCCAGAAGATGGCAAAAAACCTCCAGGATCCTTAGCCAAACTGGCCTGGCGAAAACTGCTTCCCTGGGTGTGTAAGAAAGGGCCACAAGAACTAAGCACTGATGCAGCCCTTCCTGCCCTCCCTCTCATGATCTGCTTAAGTTCACAGTTTTGTATGTGTTTGTGTGCATTCTTGTTCACAAAAGGCTAAAGTTAAACAAGAGCTCAAGATAGGGAGATCAAGAGAGGAAAAGCTACGTATGCTGTTGCTAGATCAGAAAACAGGTCTGGTATCAGTCCCTGCAGAATTTTATCTAGTACTTCTTTATTCCTACCCTGCCTCCAAGGAGCTCAAAGTAGCGTACATGGTTTCCCTCTCTTCCACTTTATCTTCAGAACCATCCTGTGAAGTAGGTTACACTGGCAGCAAATGACTCTCCCAAGGTCATCTAGTAAATTTCATAGCAAACAGGGATTTGAACCCAGATCTTCCCCTTCTATTCGCCAAGCTCTTTGAGCAACTGAACAGTAGTAGAATACATTGCAGCTAGCTGGACAAGAGATTACCACAGCACAGCAGCCCACCCAGAGCAACAGTCCTTTTTGCCCTTTCTGTTTTCTGTATTGCAATCTGTCCACTATTCCCAGCTGCAGTGCTGGGATATCCGAGGATTACTATAAGTAATGGATGTAACATTCTTGCTGATTTCTGAACTAAGGGAGGGAACTGAATCTGCTTTATGTGTCTCATCTTCCTTTAAAATATGGGTCAGCCTTCCTGTTGCTGTGATGTGTTGTCTGCACTTGCTTTTCTGGATGGGAACCACAAGAAGACTCTGAGGAATTTCACATTACCCTTTTAAAACCATTATTGTACCATCATGGAATAAACCGGTACAGGGATAGCTGTTTCACATAGCCTTTCACTTCCGGTAAGGAGCCGTCTCTGAAGTGGTGTGTCAATTCAAACTGTGCTGCTTTCTTTCCCCGCCATTTCCCCCTCCATGCACGATCTCCCTGACAGGTTTAAAAAAACAAAAACAAAACATTCTATTGAGAGCACTATGGTGCTGTATTAGGACTACAAAGCAGTGCCATAGCCACCCCATTGACATGACTGGACTCCATATAGATACACTGACATTCGCTACTGATGTCCTCTGGAAACAAGGAGTTCACTGTATACAGAGTTCAAGTGCGGGGGGGGGGGACCAGATAGTTTTGAAACCCAGGTAGCAGGCTATTCTGGTGCTTTTTAATTCATCAAAGCCCAAACTAGTAAAGCCCCCCCCTCCTTTTTCATGCTGTGCTGGTACGTTTGTGCTTATTGCTATTTTCAGTGATTTAATCTTTAAACAAACATGATAAATACTTTTGCCACAAAATTAAAAATCCATGCTGAGATGCAGTAGCAAACATCAGTGTATCTAAATGGACTCCAGGCAGGCATCTCAATGGGGTCGCTATGGCGCTGCTTTGTAGTCCTGATACAGCGCCATAGTGCTCCCAATAGAACATAAAAAAAAAGAGGACGATTGCACGCGGGGAGAAAAGGGGCGTGAAAAGAACTGTTATTGCAGGAAGCACTACGGGGCATTTTATACAGCACTCCAGAGCGCTTCAGAAGTGGTAGAAGGGATTGAAGATTGGTGGGAAGCAGTTTGAGTGAACAACGCTTCAGGCACGCTTCCCAAATGGGACAGAAGTGTTTTTGTGTGAACAGGTAAATATATTCCATCAGGGAACCATTACTAAAGTGGTTCTGTCTGAAATGACAGAAACAAGCCGTTACTGAACATTAGCTGTTGCAGATTTTCCGGGTTGTATGGCCGTGGTCTTGGCATTGTAGGAACTGACGTTTTGCCAGTAGCTGTTAGTGAACAGTTCCTGAAATGGAATACATAGGTTGTCTGAAATTCCTCTTCATTGGGGCTTAGTTTCTCAGAGAATGAAACTTGGTTCATATGTTGGCCTCTTAATGAGTCACCACAAGTACTGAAGCCTCCTGAAGCCTGTGGTCTTGAAATCTGCAAGAGGCATCCTCAATGGGCGATCTATCTATTCCAGACTTTACTTTGTGCCCTAGCAAAGAATAAGAGATGCAGATGCTTACTTACACTCTGTCAGAGCGGAGCCTTTTCCCCTTCCTCCCTTACTGTAATCTGATGCTGACTCCTCTTTCCTACTGCCCCCCCAGGTGGAATAACGGACAGACAACAGTTTGGAAGTAAACAAGGGCCACTTTATTAACTATTTAATACAACATTGCGGCAAGGGACCAGCTAAGCGAGCACGGAACAGGCAAGGCCGGTGTCACTCCCCTGACTAACCTCCTTGCCTTTTCTTGGGCGGGTCACACAGCTCCGGTCCAGAGCCATTGGTCTGGCTCATGACCAGCAGCTCAGCAAACTGGTCGCCATCTAGGAGCGCCTACCCCTGAAGCCATCCAACTTGCAGAGAGGAGCATACCCTAAGAGGTTCCCAGAGGAGGTGATCACCGTTCCCCACCCTGGACCTTAGAAATCCGAAGGCAGTTCCCGATGACCCCCTGTTCCCTAATGGGGAAAATGCCGTAAGGTGCTCACCAGCTCCGGTTTCTTGCCCGCACCAACCTGCCAAGTGACCAGCCTATTTAGGTGTCAACCCACCAAAACAGCCCCCAGTGACCAGCGGCATTGCCGGGTTGCCGGGAGCTTCATTCTTCAACTTCCCAACTGCAAGATAGAGGGAAAAGGTGAGGGAACCATCATGGACTGACTTCCTCAGTCTTCTCTGCAAGAAAAAGTGGGATGTTGTCAGAAAATGAGTGACTGGTGGTGACAGCAGCTCTCTTCCACTCGTGCCCCCCCCCCAGGGTCCAGGCAAGGTAAGGACTGGAGGAGGGCTCACTAGTAATGGGTAGCTGGTATGACTATGAAATCCAGTGGCCACTATAGGTCCTTGGAGGCTTCTGCACATGTGTCGGTGCCTCATTAAGAGACTAACACATGGAATTACAGCATTATGGCTCAGGTTTCTGTCACATGCCAGATAACATGTTAGTGAAGTGTAGTTATTGACATTGTCGTATTTGTGTCATTTATCGTATCCAACAAAGAATCATGGAAGCACAAAATAATGGGGAAGTATTTTATTTGTTTCTCAGTTAGTTTTCTCCCTTTTATATTTCATGTTGCAATTGCAGAAAGTTGATGTCACCAGTAGGGCTGTGATGGAAATAATGGCCAAGACAATAGAATACCTTCAACCAAATCCAGGTAAGGATGCTTCTCTATGAATCAGAGTAGATCTACATCTAAAGCTTACTTTATCTGAAGGCTACTTCAGATAGTTTCCTTAAAGAGGAAAGGAATGCATTATCTCTGCCATAGAAACAAAACATAAATTTGTTTTATAGAAGACTTCTCTGCATTATTTCCTTCGTCAGTATTTGCCAAAACCTTTCTTAATCACCTTCTCATAAAAACCTGTTACAATTTCTGCTATGTACTACGTTTTTGATTCCTGCCTCCAATGAGCTCAGGCTTCAAGGATGGCAAAACAGTTGTCCCCTCTTCCAGTTTTTCCTCACAGGGATTCTGTGAGGTAGGTTGGGCTAAAAGTGAGGGGGGCGGGAGACTGGTCATGCAGTGAGTTTTGTGAGTGTGTAGAGATTTGGACCAAGATCTCTTCAGTTCTAGTCCACACTCTAACCACTATATCACACTGGGTCCCATAAGTAGCTTAGACCCAGATCTCCTCAGTCTTGTGCCAGCATTCTACCTTCCATATCACACTGGCACCCCTCAGTAGTTTATCAGTGCCTGTCAGGACCACTTTGAACTTTACACAACAAAAAACATGTTTGGAACACATTGAGCTGTTTCCTGTTGTCAGGCTGTTGGTTTGTCCAGTACAGTATTGTGTGCTCTTGCTGGCAACAATTTCCCATGGTCTCCAGAAACTAGAGATCAAACCTTGGGAGCATGTGCATGCACAACATGTTTTTTAGCATTGACCTGTGGGGTCCCCGAAGCTTATCACCATGTTCTTATCACTACATGCAGACCCATTGCTGGCTCTTGCTCCTGGTATGTTTACCTCAAGAACACATATTACGATACATGTGTATTTGATTCATAAATGCATGATGGTTTTACAGGTAAACCATGTAAACTCTGTAAAGCAGCCTTAGGTAATAAGTGGCATTGTAGGGTGCTTTTTGCAGTAGAAGTTTCCTGGTCCTGAATGATACTGAATATATGACCCTGTGTTTCAGTCAGTGCTCTTGATTTGTACTTCAGCTATCCTCAAGGTGCCTGGTGCTGAATTAGGCTAGGAGCTATGGCATTGGCTGAAATTACTTAGGATTCATGGGGTAAACCTCAGGTTGAAAATGTAACTAATGTAGTCTGCTCACATCCTAGTATTGATTCAGTCTCTATTGTGAATAGAATTAAAGCATTGTTTATTTGTAAGGTGCTGACTTCTGCATGAGTTGCTTCCATCTTCGAACAAAGAGAAATGGAACCTCATATTGTTTCTCAAATGTGGAAGTGCTATTCCTTTTCCTTCCGGGTGTATCTGGAAAGTAAAACACTTACTTTATGATAATAGATATCACTTAACAGGCTAGTCTACAACTGCATCCTGCCAGGGAATTATGTAACAGCCCTTGCCTGGATCTATTCTTTGCTGAAACAAGAAAGGTTGAGGAAGGATTATATAGGAGCCAGTGCCTCTGGAGAAAATTTATAGTGGCATAAACAGACTGCCTGATGCTTGAAGAGTTAGTGCATGCCATTGCAACCCTGTGGTTCACCAAGCAGGACAGAATTCTTATTATTGTGCATTATGTTGGTGCAGAACTACTGGATACTATGCAGTAATCTGTGCCACAGTGGCTAAGTCATGTTTTCAAAAGCAGAGTGGCTGATGTAGCAAGAGCTGCTTCTTCTTTAACATTTTGTACTCTAGTATCAGTAAGGTAAAGGTAAAGGTTCCCTTGCTTGAAAGCTAGTCGAGTCCGACTCTAGGGTTGCGGTGCTCATCTCCGTTTCAAAGCCGAAGAGCCAGCGCTATCCGAAGACATTTCTGTGGTCATGTGGCCAGCATGACTAAACACCAAGGTGCACGGAACGCTGTTACCTTCCCACTGCAGTGGTACCTATTTATCTACTTGCAATTTCTTACTTTTGAACTGCTAGGTTGGTAGAAGCTGGAACTAGAGACGGGAGCTCACTCCGTCATGCGGCACACTCGGGTTTCGAACTGCTGAACTATTGACCTCCCACAGCCTGCAGTTCAGTTTCTTAACCACTTGAGCCACCGCAGCTCCAGTATCCAGTATCAGTACCCAGTTACAAAATGCGTATTGCATTAGTAATAAAGGATGCTTTCATATATAAATTGCTATAAATGAAATATATAGGAGTAGCTCACATATACTGGTTCCCCTTGCACTGTATTTGAAGGTGGTTTACACTTACCATGAGACCCTTCCTGACTTGATTCAAAGTGGAGAGGGAAGGAGTGTGGGGGATCCTCTAATTTCATGATGGGCTGTAAAGGAAAGCAAAATAAAACAAAGATCCAGACTGACAGCATGTATTTTACTACGAGCTTTAGTAAAGCTTCACATATCTATCTGACAAAGTGGGCTGTGACTCATGAAAGCTCATACTGAAATAAATGTTGGTAATCTTTAAGGTGCCCACTGGACGCGTATTTTGTTTTTGCTACCCATTTTTAGTCTAAGGGAATGCACCCATGCAAAATAATAGGAGGTGTTCCTGGGGCCAAAGGCAGTTCAAGTATAACAAGAGCAGCTGGGCAGCCTTCCTGAAACATTGTAGGAAGCAACAAGACTGAAAGCACTGAATGGGTTTGTATGCATGCCTATTTCAGCTGTGAAGCTAAGACAAAGCCAGGCTTGTATCACAGGTGAAGAACCCTCCGTGGTGCCATCTGTCTTCATCCTTATATCGCTTCTCTCATCTTCTCCCCAGTCTACTCACTCTTGCTGATTAGGCTGTTTATCTGTTTGCAGCTTCCAGAGCTAAACTCAGCATGCTCAACACCATGTCCAAAATCAGAGGCCAGGAGAAAGGACCCGGCTATCCTCAAGCTGAGGCTCTACTAGCAGATGCAATGCTGAAGTTTGGCAAAGAACTTGGAGATGAGTGCAACTTCGGTAACTTGGTTTCTTTTCTTTTAAATCTGTCATGTACCATAGACCTCTACAATTGCATTCAACTGCATCTTGCTAGTGTTTAGCATCACATAAATGATCCTGGAGTTTGAATCTTCCAGATGGTATATTTGGTAGTAAAGGATTTATTCCTCTGTCTGGAAGTCTAATGGGACAGGAGCTGGAGGGCCTTCTCCAAAATTTATCTGTCTTTCTCAATTGCTTTCTGAGTAGACTCTAGCACCTTATAAATTAAATATTCACACCAAGATTTCAGTTTGAAATCTACACCACCTCTAAATACTGGATCAAATGAGTTAATATAGCACTAGTGGTATACTAGATTCACAAATGTCAGGTTTTCTCAAACCACCTCAATGGATAACAATTCTTTAAATTGGATAACAATTGGATAACAATTCTTTAAAACTTAGGTCTGGTTAATACACAGCTTCAGTATGCAGGATGTATACTGTATATAGCTTTCGGATCATGTGCCCTTTGTTATGAAAACTGTCCAACACACATGGATGCTTACACAAATAAGTATTCCTGCTTGCTTGGAACTTGTGGAGAAGTTTATTTATTAGATTTTTATCCCATCAGTCTTCTAAGGAACTGAGGCAGAATACATGGTCCCTCCCCTATTTTATCTTCACGCTTGTGAGGTAAGTTATGCTGAGAAAAAGAATGACTGGCCCAAAGTTACAAAGTGAGTTTTACAGCTGAGTGAGGGTTTGAACCAGGGTCTCCCTGGTCATACTAGGAAATTTTAACCACTACACCACACTGATTGTGTGTTGTTGACTTGTGTAAGCATTTGTGTTATAGGACCCAGTTCACATAAAAATTCATTTCCACATCCCTCTTTTGTAGAATTTGGAATATGTAAGCCCATTTGTTTTTGTCTGTGGCTTTAGAACTATAGATTTCCCAGAGCCCCTAACAACTAGTATTATTACTTTCCAGAGACATTAAGCAAAAGAATATTAGTTCTATAGGGAGTTTTGAATTACTGCATGGTTATGTGGGAGCACATTCTTTCTAAATTTATATCAAATAAAGAAGATCCTGTTCTTGTGTTTCAGGACCAGCTCTTGGAGATGTTGGGGAAGCTATGAGAGAACTTTCTGAAGTGAAAGATTCATTGGACATTGATGTGAAACAAAATTTTATTGATCCCCTTCAAAATCTTCATGACAAAGACTTGCGGGAAATTCAGGTATTGTTATAAATGGAGTTTTGTTGAAAGCTTAACGTGGCTCAATGACAGAGCATTTGCTTGGCATGCAGAAGGTTCCAGGTTCAATCCCTGGTATCTCCAGTTAAAGAATCTGGCAGTAGGTGATGTGAAAGACCTCTGCCTGAGACCCTGGAGAATCTCTGCCAGTCTGAGTAGACAATACTGACTTTGACGGACCAAGGGTCTGATTCAGTATAAGGCAATGTCATGTGTTCATGTGACATTTCGAGAAGTAGAGATTTGCAAGGGCTCAGTTATCTTTGGTCAAGTTGTCAATATGATTGCAGCGAGCTCATATTTCAGTCATTGCAATGATCTTCATAGCACCAGTTTGCACACATTTCAAAAAGATCTAAATACATTTAACAATAAACGTGTGGTTTTTCAAATGAACTCCCAGTGGAACAATAAACGTGTGGTTTCACCTCCTTCATATAAACTCAGCAGGAGAATGTTTTTCCATTAGCAATATATGCCCAAAGGTTCCCAGAATCATAGCTCCCAAGGTCAGGATCATATTGCTGCCCAAAGACCAACAGGTAATACTTGCTAAGTGTACATTGTGTTTGGGTTTCTGGTATTCTCTGAACTGTAGTGCATCAGGGCTCATTGACACCATGAACTTAAATTGGTTTCCAACTAGTTTGTATGTATCCCTCCAAGGAACGGTCAGAGTAGTAATTTTATTAGGATGCTGACAACTGGGATACAGGCAACAAGCAAGCCCCTTCCTCATTAGTCCTCTTGGGGGCATCTTATGGTGCAATACAACTGTAATAAAGTTTCATAATAGCCCATTAAAACCCAAAATGATGAAAGAAGCCACTGGATTTACAAGACGTAGCCTTTAAATCAGTATATAGATGCTCAGAATTCCTAGTCACTGAGCATACAGGAACATGAGTGGCTATAATTATGCAGCTCTTTTTCTTCTTCTGTGACTCTGACCTTTCAGTGTACCTGAGAGCCTTCTTCTAATTTAGACAGTTTTCTGCTGTACCTTTAGCTCTCTATTCGAAGCATATAAGTATCTTGCTGCAGTGTGAACCTTTGGGTTTCAAACTGCAGCAGTCCATAGGCATTTGAAATTGCAGTATATCTGTGGAAACTCTCTCTGCCTCCTTCTTTCAGCACCACCTTAAAAAACTGGAGGGCAGACGCCTGGACTTTGATTACAAGAAGAAAAGGCAAGGCAAGATCCCTGACGAAGAGCTCCGTCAAGCTCTGGAGAAGTTTGATGAGTCAAAGGAAATCGCTGAGTCAAGCATGTTCAACCTGCTAGAGATGGATGTGAGCAAATGATTTTTATTTCCTTTTCATATTGACAGGTTTTTTTGTTGGCAGTTTAATGAATTTTTAAAAGCCTAAGAACTGAGTTTTCTGTTCGTGTTTCCTAGACTCTGCTCCATGAGTATGCAGATCTAGCTTTCCAAGGTCAGTTCTTTTGAACATCCTGCTGGAAAAGTGAGTTATATTGCTGTAATCTCAAGGCCAGACTTTGCAGAATGTTTTGGCCAAGTGGCCCCAGTCAGTAAATGATTTTATTTGCTACCCGGATGTATGCAAGTAGGGAGAAAGTTTGCTGTTAATCCATTGGACCAAGAGTTGCATGATGTAAATCTTCGCAATCAGAATTAAAATATCCATTCTTATCTGGCTAAAGATTCAATGGATAGTCTTGGCAATTTCACTATCAGTTGGCTTCATTTCTATATATTTCTATATATGGGAATAATAGTCACCTGCAGTGTTCCCTCTAAGCTGAGTTAGTGTGAGCTAGCTCACAGTTTTTTAGCCTCCAGCTCACACATTTTTGTCTTAGCTCAGGAAGGATGGCTCCAGAGCAAACTGATTTATGCAGTATCCAAATGCCACGCTCACAACTTTAATGCCAGCAGCTCACAAAGGAGAATTTTTGCTCACAAGACTCCGCAGCTTAGAGGGAACATTGGTCACCTGCCTCAGAAGGCTGTTCGGAGTACACAAAGCAAGGAAGTATTGTAACATACTTTGCACCTTCCAATCAGGGTGCATTTTATAAATCAATCAAACTAAACCAACACCATATTTGGATGTATCAAGAAAAATGTTGATCAGTGTTGAAACAGGACCATAAATAGTTCTTGGAACCTTTCTGCATTCCACTGAAACTGCATTCAGTTTCTCTCTAACCTCTTTGCTTAAGAGATTGATTAAGGCTCTGTCTACTCAGGATGGAGTGTCGGGGGGGGGGTTTAGATGAAGAGGGACAAACTATCCCTCTTTGTTCCAGAATGGTGATCTGTCATTGTTTGTACCCCACCTACTTGTGAAGTAAAGGGACCCAGCTTAATAACACCCAAGGTTCTTACTCCTGAAGTAAGGAGGGCTCCATCCTGGCTCTTGAAATGTCAGCCTGGGGTACAAACCTGCCAGTGGGGTTTCTTCTGATTAAGCATCTGACCATGCAGTTTCAAGCAGCAAGCTTGCAAAAGGGGATGTCCCATTGAGGTCAATGGCATCTCATGAGTAAGCTCCTGGTTTGAATGACTTGGAGCTGCAGTCACAGATATCACTAAGGATGAGAACTGCATCAGCTGTTTCTGGGATGCATTCTAGGTAAAACAGCTGATGTGAATGTATCAAAGTAGTTCATGTTATATGCAAACAGTGCAGAAATCCATCTTGAACTGATGAGGCCTCTGGTGCAGGGTAAGGAGAACTTCTTCAATTAAACTAGTGACATCTGTGAGTTATATAGTAGAGTGATTTTAATTTTCACTCTCCAGTTTGGCATCATACAGCAACTTCAGTTCTGTCCATTACACTTAGAAAAATCTAATGAGCCCACTGACTTGTATTTTGAATTTATAGAGCAAGAGTGAATTTTCAGGCTCTCCTAATGTTCAAAAGATAACTGCTCCTATGTTAAGTGATTCTTCATATGCACTCTAGCCTAAAAAGATAAGGAATTCCTGACTGCATCAGATCCAAATCCATTTAGCCTTGCATTCTTTACAAAAATTACAAATACCAAAAGGCACTAGTTGGTCCACCAGAAAATGGCCAGTGATTGAACAGCAGGCCATAGTCTGCCTTCTGCTTGCTGTACAGTAGAAGACCCTTAATGCATATTCAGGACTCACCTGGATAGCACAGGCTAGTATTTGTATGGGTTGGCCCTGGCTAGTATTTGGAAGGGCGACCTCCAAGGAATACCAGGGGTGTGACGCAGAGGCAGGCAATGGCAAACCTCCTCTGAAATGTCTCTTGCCTTAAAAACAAGTCTAGCTCATCACTTAGTGGTGCATAATGCTAAAAGAGTTAGAACTTCTGGCTGCCGGACAATCTTTGGATCTCCTAGCTATACTACACACTGCCATATGATAATTAATTAATTAGTGCAGATACTCAGTCTGCTGTGGTGACCTTGTTCACTTCCTCTTCAGCATCAGAGGGTTGGTACCAGAAGGAATTACTGTGAATAAACTGAATGATACTATTGAAATAAGGCTTTATCTTCATGTGTCTCCTCAGATTGAACAAGTGAGCCAACTTTCTGCACTTGTACAAGCCCAGCTGGAGTACCACAAGCAAGCCACCCAGATCCTACAACGAGTTTGTTTCAAGCTGGAAGAAAGGTAATACACATACTTTTGCTTACCAGGTATCAGGGTTGAACCAGTGTTTTAAATTATATTATATTTAGCCTTAAATTTTGTCTCTTCCTAGTCAGTTTCTGACCCAAGTCAATAAATGCTATAGACACACTTCTCAAAGTTCATCTTAGAGAGCTGAAGTCCATGTATTTATTCATTTAGAATATTTCTATGCCGCCTCTTCAGAGTTCTGTTTGAGGTGGCTTACAATTAAAAATCACAACATAAAACACAAGCCATTAAAAAGTAGTGCTATCTTCTGCTATGATTTCACCAAAAATATTTTTACACTGAATTCACTACCACCACCCATCCTGACATTTAGATTCCCGCTAGACACGAGTGGTTCCCTATGCTTCCTTAAGCAGCTAAAGACGAAGAGAAAGCAGTAGGTCTACAGTACTTTTCATACTATCAGAACAATAAATGTAGCAACCTGCAATAAAAGGCTAAAGGTCTAGATTTTTTAAAAAAATCATTAGGCTGGGAAAAGTTGAAAAAGCTCCCTTGAACAGAATACATTTCACAATGCTTGGAGTGAGGGAACATAGTGAATCTCCTGGGACAGGGAGTTCCACATGGTGGGCAGCACAGCCACAAAATATCTGTCCCTTATGATTCCCAGTCTTACCTTAGAGCTCAGGTGGGCATAATGGTGAGTGTTTGTGTGGGCTACTGCATTAATGGCATCCCTGTAATGTGTCCTCCCCATCTACAACTCAGAGTTTTAACCATTCATGGGTTTCAAGAATACCTTCAGATATACGTGTTTATATGTTCTGCTGCTGGAGGTAGCCACTATTAGTAAGACGCAAGCTCTTGTAAGTCTTTCATTGTCTTTGGTGATTATAGCACAACACTAGGATAAACACAGGTTAGCTGTGCATCTCTGGTCTAGAACAATTTGGAATACGGTGCTATTGTACAGGACTGTGTACATGCTGCAGTTTCTCAAAGGAACTCACAGCAGTGTTCTTGGGGTTCCCATATCCTGATCTCCCATTGTGAAAGCCGTTCTCTTCAGATTGCTTAATTTCAGGAGACAGAATTCAGTTCGTTCGCTGATTCAGTGAAGGAAATCTAAGCTTCTCTTTGACTCTTCCCAATTTCCTGATTAAACAATCGGGAAATGGGGGGAGTACCCCCACCTACCCATTTGTAGTCAGTACAACGTGGAGAGCTTTGTGTGCTGGGACTGGGGACAGGGAGAGCTGCTCCGTAACTGTACTGATTACTGCTGCTATCGTGCTCTGAACCAACCACATGGTTCTACTCTTGCTTTGCTTTTCATTTCCCTGATGGGAATTGCTGGCCCTAGACAAGATCTTGGTTTTCCAAAACAAAAGTTAAAGAGATGTGTGAAAATCCCCCAGTTTATTTATTTATTTATTTATTTATTTATTTATTTATTTTACTGATCTTGGCAAATTGATTCAGCTTCTCTAAATTTTACAAGTGTTTTGCCTGAGCAGGGCTTCCCAAATTTATATCAACCTGTACTCTTGGCACCCCAAAAATGGTTTGTATTTTTAACAATTATCCAAGCCTTTGTTTATTCTTGTGTTATATGTATCAGGGCTTGCACATAGATTTCGTTGTCACGGACTGTGATTTATTTGTTTGTTTATTATTAAAAATGTTGGCAGGCTGACTAACTTTGGCTGCATCTATGTACCTTTCCACTTCTCATAAATACTAGCTTTTCCATTTCAGGTCAGGATATTAATGACATTAAGCACCTTGGACAAGTCCACCCATGCTTTCTTTCACTGAAGATTTTCTTAGACACAGAGCCAAGGAATCTAGGCAGCCTCATATATGAAACTATAATTACTAATGTGGGCTGCAATATCTTGGCAGAAGCTGAGCTTTTCTCTTAACAAACAGCATTGTTTCCTCTGCAGGTAGTAAATGCTTGCAGTCTTAGAAATCACAAACTTGGGGCTCTCAGTGGGGCCCAAACATGCAATGACGGGAGCATGAGAGAACTACAGGTCTGATCTCCAGTACTCTGCGTTGTAGCAGCTGCAGATGGCTAGAGTGCGAGCTACAATTTATAAGCCAAGCAGGATCAGGTCATATGAGGAGCCAGTAAAGTATCTTAGGCCTACCTACTCACTAGCCGAGACCCACAGCTTCCAATCCTTTTTTCCTGTGTCTGTTTTAATTTAGGGCAGTTTCACATGCTACATGGTAGCAGCCCTGGTTTTCCAGCAAAGACATGAAGGAAAACTTCTCTGTTTTATCTTTAAAACAACCCTGTGAATTAGATTCTACTGTGAAAGTGTGACTGGCCCAAGGTCACTCAGAGAGCTTCATGGCAGAGTGGGGATCTGAACCCTGGTTTCCCCAGTCCTAGTTGTACATTCTAACCTTTACACCACAATAATGCTCAGCAGGATTTTGCAGCTATGACAGTTCCCCCCCCCCCAATCTCTTTATCTTCTTCTTGGCTGGGCAACCAGTTATTAAAATGTGTATGTGCTGACCCAGACTAGAGATCTGAGGGACCGACTAAAATCATTCTTTTGTCTTTGTTTGAAAATGGCACACGAGAAGCTGATGGTAGTTCCAAATTAACAAATTTTTATTTTACTTATGAGGATAAATGGTCATGTAGGTATCAGGTTTAGGACTTAGAGGGTGAACAGACAGCAAGAATGAGGTAAATATAAACAAAAGCTAGTTTGTCACAACTGTTTAATTGTACAGACAGTTGTTTAAACAGCGAGGAGAGAGATTTTTTGGCAGTCTTTGCTGAAATACATAAGCATAAGTGTCTTTGTATCACAGACACTTAAGTGGATGACGGCAGGAACATTCACAGAAGTTCCAGTATCCCTTCTTAACCACTTGACCCCCCTTTACTAGGAGCTAGATCCCTCAGACTAGATAGCAATCACCCTCCTTTACTAGATCAAGATAGGTAATCATGTTAGTCTGTCTATAGCACTAGAAAAGAGCAAGACTCTAGTAGCACCTTAAAGACTAACAAAATTTGTGGCAGCATATGAGCTTTCATGAGTCACTGCTCACTTCTTCAAATACAGCTAGAATGTGAGTCTATCTGTCCTTATATCTTGGAGTGTGGAGTGATTTCAGATGGCAAAAGACAGTAGCAGGTCAATGACAATAGAATGTGTGATTGGATTAGGTGTTGTATGCAGAGGGGTAGTAGGTGTGGAGAAAGCAGCATTGGTAATGAGACAGGAAACCTAGGTCTCAGTCCAGTCCAGGACAATGCATTGTCTTGAGCTTCATTGTCAGTTGCAATTCATAAAAATGAAGGAAGGCATGCAAGATAAAAAGCTAAAAATCAGCCACATTTTCCAGGCTAAAAACTGATGACTATTGCGTAGGGGTGTGCATTCGGTTTATCCGAGCTGGGAAAAAACCTGGGGTATATCAGCTGGGGTATTTATCCGGCTAACCGATATGGCAGGTCCCAAAAAATATTCAGGATTTTTTGGTGCCGCCGGATAGTTGGCATTAAGGGGTATAATAAAGGAATTGCAATCCATGAAGCCATGGTTTGGAGAAAGCATTTAAAGGGACTTCAAGCTGCTATCAAACACAGCTGAAAATACACTAGCATTTATGGAACATCTTTCATAAAGGTACCCCTGAAAAGTTGGCATTGGATGAGAAAAGAAAATAGGAAGAAATACTGTAATAGTGATAACACAATCATAAGTGCAATACTTAACGTATGGGATCAAGTTAAAAAATAAATTGTCACCAAGATTCTCTCCCTTAGAATCTGTAATTAGTGATATGATCGATGAGATGATCCTAGAATTTCTCCCTTTGAGAAGGTAGAAATTTTCAGTATTTAGTGATTACAGAAACTTGATAATTGACAACCAAGTAATCCCGTATAGTGATATCAAAAATATTTTAGAGCCTAGTATTTCAGTATTTGAATATCTCCAAGTCAGAGGCTACCTTTGCGAACTGATACCAAAAAATTGCTATTTTAAGACCTACAACAGAGTTTGAGGAACTGCTTTTAGCAGATGTTAGAAGTTTTATTTCCAGAATTTATTCTTGTTTATTGAAAATGATGCTATAACCTGATCAAAACTTTCACAGTAGATGGCAAAAAACATTGTAGGTAACAACTTAGGTGATTTAACATAGACATTTATCTTCACTTGTGGTACTATTTTATTTTATTTCTTTTATTTATTGGATTTCTACCACCACCACCCAGCCAAAGCCGGCTTAGGGTGGCTTACATAAAAACAGGTAAATTACATAAAATAAATATGTTACATTAAAACATGAATTACAATGAAAACAATTCAACCATAAAAGTGCTAGTAGTCGTTGTCAGTTTGGTGGTCGTAGCCATTATTCAATGTTCCTAGCTCACAGTCGGCTCGCCGTCTTCATTTTTAGTTGTCCTTGCACGGATTGATGTCCTTTGGGCTGTTGGTGAAAATTCCAGGAATCCAGGGCCCTCTCTCATTCTGTTGTTAATTGTTAGCTATTGATTATGGTGGCAGCCCCCGAAAGCTTGGTGGAAAAGCTCTGTTTTACAGGCCCAGTGGAACTGTAAAAGGTCCTGCAGGGCCCTGATCTCCTCCGGGAGCTCATTCCATCAGAGCGGGGCTGTCGACAGCCTAGCCTCCTTAAGACCTGGGAGGGCCGGCCAGTTCTGAGCCCCTGATCACAGTGCTCTCTGGGGAACATGGGGAGAAAGGCGGTCCCTCAGGTATGTACCTTTACAGTCTGCCTCTCTTTTAGAGAAAACCTGTTGAAAATGATTTACAGATGGTATTTAACTCCATTAAGGTTAGCAAAAATCAACAAGACTGGTACCAGCTTATGCTGGTTCTGTAAAGTAGACAAGGCAGATTTCTTTCATATGTGGTGGGCATGCATATGTGCCCCCAGTTATTGGAAACAAGTGGTAAAAATTATATCAGTTGGGTTGGAAACACAAATCCCTTATAAACCAGAGACACTGCTGCTGAATTACCTACCTGATATCACTAGAAATCAGCAAATGGTTGCCTTACATATTATTACTGCTGCCAGGCTGGTTTTTGCCAGGTAGTGGAAACAAAAATATATCCCTAAACTACAAGACTGGCTTTAGTAAAATTAACTGCTTATCAGAAAAATAGAGATACATATAGAGTAGACTTTCTATGGTCAAGAGCAATACAAAAAATGGAACTGACAATTGTATAATTGGAAATAGTATTAATATTGTCAGTTGCTGATGAAGGTTTTTATATGTCCATGAAGGCAGGACGAAAAGGGTTTTAATTGGCAATGTATCTTATGAACATTTTGAAGTTTTTGTATATATCTGTAATTTGTTTATTTTAATAAAAAAATTAAAAGCCTTCAGAGTTCAGCTGCAACTTGCAAAAGGCATTTAAAAGGACCACGTTCCCTTTAAATGCCTTTCCCCCTTCCATTGGAAACAATGGCGGATGGGGGCACCTTCTTCTGGGGCCCATAGAATTGGACCCCCTGATCCAATTTTTTTTGAAACTTGGGTTTTTGAGGAGAGGCACCAGCAGCTATGCTGTAAATTTGTTGCCCGTACCTCAAAAAAGAGCCCCAGATACCCCCAGATTGATTCCCCACTGTACCCTATGGGGACCATTGATTATAATGACTACATTGACTACAGAGTATAATGGAGCCGAAAATATTTAGCATTCCTGAATATTTGCCAAATCTGAATACCGTACTGTATTGGGATTCAGGAATATTGGGAAATACTGATATTTTTGGGTTCAGTATACCCAAACCTGAAAAAATCGGGCAGGTTTTGCACACCCCTAATATTCTCTTAATAATAATTCAGGCCACAGTTTATGTACTGGAAGAGGGTCTGAGTAGTATACTCTGTTTAGCATGACATATCCATTGGAGACATGTCATCCTACAGAGCATGTCTTCCTTGCCTCTCCTCTGCCATGGGAGCTCTAAATGCCTACTGAAATCCTTTTTTTTTTTTGGTAAACAAATTTTTATTTTCTCAGGAATACAACATATGAAATTAAATCATTTCATTCTATCAATTGTCTACCCCATTCCCAGTTCCTCCCCTCCCTCCTGTGTAAATGCCTACTGAAATCCTGTTCCTGGGGATTTGCATACTTACTGGATATTTACTTCCAATACGAAAAAAACATGTGTTTCTATAAATTAAATGTGATTCTTTTCATGCACTACTATTTTCATCAAACAGGATTTGGGGGGCATTGCAGGCTGCTGTGGGAGGGGAGAAATAAAAAAAGTTGTGTGTGCTGCTGGGGCAGAAATCTTGATGCCAATAGAAAAACTCCAAAATCCAAGCCAAAATCTTGGTTCTTAGGGTGAGTTGATACATGTTTAATATGCTATAATAGGTGTTTTCTCGTGTCCTAGCAGAATAAAAGAGGCAGCAGTACAGCCCAGAAGAGAATACCAGCCGAAACCACGCATGAGTTTGGACTTTGGAAGCAATGAAAATTCTCAGCACAATGGAGGGATATCTCATGCCACCACCCCTAAGCCATCAGGTAAGCAGAACAGGAAAGAAGAGGCTCAAGCGTACCTGAGAGTAGCTTTGGGTAATGTGTTGAAATGGGACAAGCAGTTTCATGAGGCGCTTGAGTGTCTCACATTTCTGGTATACCTTCCAAAAGCTGAATTCATACATCTCCACTGCAGTATGGTATATAGCTCATCATATGTGGATGTTATGGTGCATCCCTATGCTTGAGGTAGAAAACAAGCCAAGTCCCATGTGAATTTTTAGGAGAACCACAACTCCATTAGGCTGAGACAAGCAAAGCACATAAGCAACGTGGACTGTGGTGGTAATAGAATGTCTCACCTGATCATATGTCACAATAACCTGTCCACCCAGAGAGGAAAGACCAATGGAGAGAATTTCCTTTGGTCTGATACCCATTAATGCCCCTCTGCACCCCACACACTTCCTCTGCACTTTACATGATATGTGCTGTGTGCAAAGAACTCTGTGATCCTTGGGAAATAGTTATTGGCCATATCGCCCTACACTGGGAAGTTTGAAGGAGGACCCCACTTTCTGATTGGACCAAAAAGAAGCTCATGCTTTTGAGGGTCCCCTTGAAATATGGGGTCATGAGGAACAAGTCTTTGTCACTCCGTTACCACACCCTCTGTCTTGTATAATTCTAAGTTCCAAGAAACTATGTTTTATCATTACTTTCTGTATTTGTCACTTCTTAGAGTTTCATATTAGCTTATTTTTGAGTGCATAGAATAAAATTCTTTCCCCCCAGTTTTCAAAATGTACATGCACACTCAACAGATCCAGAAAAATGGATAACTGTAATAACTTGATAAGAACTTACATCAATGTTAGCTGCTGTGTACATGCAGAAGCTCATTCATTTCTTAGCGTCACGGGTGTTATTGTTCCAAAGTGGCAAGAGAGGCTATTGAAGCACTGAAACAGAGCCCAGCCAACAGGCAGGCTAGATAAGAGTTTGTATAAAGTACTATCACGTCACAGCCAACTTATGACAACCCCAGCAAGGGGGGCTTTTGAGGCAAGCAAGAAGCAGAAGTCATTGGCCATTGCCTTCCTCTGCAGTGTCTTCCTTGGTGGTTTCCCTTCCAAGTACCAACCCTGAATAGTTTCCTAGATCTGATAAGACCAGGCTATACCATGATGCCTTCCCCCCTGGAGGGTAGATGGAATAACTTAAAAGCAGGCTCCACATCCCTGATGGGAGCATTTTTCACACTGTGTCTGTTACAGTCTGGGATGGGGAACTTTCTTGCTGCTGCCCTGCTGCTGTAGGTCAGCCTCTTGGAAGGGCTGAGGGAGGCATTTACCTTTGGGTCCACTTGGTGAGACTGCAAGACAGAATCATTTAAAAGAGCTTGTGGGGCAGCTTGAATGGGTGCTGGCTGGTTTGTTTTAATTATTTGTTTTAATCATGTATTTTAATGACTTTAATAAAAGATTGTCTTTGTTACCTGCCTTGGATCCTGACTATGTCAAGAGAAAGGCAGGGTATATAAATACTCTTTTCGGGCTCCAACTTCTAGGAGTTGGAGTCCAGGGCTGCCACACCCTTCAGCATCCTTTCGAGGCAGGCCCCAAAGTATGACTCAGTCAATGGAGAGCGGGTGGGTTCACCTGCACCCAGAGCACTCTCTCTCTTGTCACATACTTCTTAACCAGAGCACTCTGTCTCCTGCCACATGCATCTCACCTGGCAGCACAGGAATTACCTGGCTTGTCCTCCCTGGCCTTCTCTGGGCCAGCCTATTAAAGGAGCCTTTGGGACAGAGCAGCTGTAGGGTCAACCACTGGCCTTCAACCTCTGTTGGTGGGTCATGAGTAGGCTTACCAAACGCCGGCGGGGGAAATCTATTTCCTGGCAGGATGCGTGCCGCGGGGGACGGCTGTGCGCGCTGCACCCGCCGTCGCCAGGATGTGATGCTCCGCGTTACTCTGGCAACGGGGCTGTTTGGGTCCCGTTGCCAGAGTAACGCGGAGCGTCACATCCTGGCGACGGCGGGTGCAGCGTGCACAGCCGTCCCCCGCGGCACGCATCCTGCCAGGAAATAGATTTCCCCCGCCGGCGTTTGGTAAGCCTAGTCATGAGAAACCTCTGCCAATGGACTCCTGGCCTGGGCTTTCTTCCCTGGTGCTCTGCCCTCCCCCAATGCGTCAAAGGGCTGATTTCCCATTCCACACAGGCCCACGGAGGCTGGGGCCCCCACCAGCCTCAGCTGCTGGGTAGCCAAAAGGCACAACATGATGACAGAGCCCCACCTCTCTGCTGCATGATGCAGAAGATCCATCCAGCTCTGGGATCAGCCAACCCACACCTCCTAGCATGGCTACTTGCCCTCCTTCCATCGCTCCCAGTTGGGAATGAGCTCCTGGAGGTGTCCGGGAAGCATCAGCCATTGAAGGAGCCCACGTCATCAGCCCAGGTGGCCCTCTTAGAGCTGTTTAGTACAGGTGTGAGGCTGTTGACCCCAGACAACTCTAAATAAATGAATTTAAAGTTCTTGATAAAAAATAGCTTAAAAAAAACACCTGGAGTTAACAGGGGTTACAGCAAGTGGAAAGCGGGAGCTTTTTCCCCTCTCTCCCATAGTGCCAGAACTCAGGGATACCGTATGAAGTTGATGGGCAATAGGTACAGGAGAGACAAAGGAAAGTATTTCTTTAATCAATGTGTAATATTGTGGAATTTGCTGTCAGTGGATGTAGTAATCATGAGCATAGATGGCATTAAAAGGGGGTTAGACAGATTCTCAAAGGATAGGTTTATCCACTGCTACTAGACATGATGAGTAAAGGGAACCTCCACATTCAGAGGTGGTAAACCTCTGAATACTGGAGCCAGGAGGCAATATCAGGGGAATGCTTTAGCTTCTGTACCCTGTTTATTGGCCCCACCGGGACAGCTGGCTGGGTACTGGATTAGATGGACTGCTGGTCTGATCTAGCAGGGCTCTTCTTATTTTATACTCGCAATTAACCTGATGAGGTGTATGCATAAATTTCTCTTCATTTATTGCCCATTGCCATGTGCGGACTTTTAGGTAGATTTCCTTCTTTGATTGAGTGACAAGCTTACCTCATTTCCTTCTTTGATCGAGTGACAAGCTTCCTGGATCGAGGGAATGCTCTTGATGTTGTTTACCTGGATTTCAATAAAGCTTTTGACAGGGTTCCCCATGATGTTTTGATAGGTAAACTAAAGGACTGTGGACTGGACTGTAGGTAGTTAGATGGATAGGGAACTGGTTGGAGAACCGCACTCAGAGGGTGCGGTCAGATGGCGGGCTGGGAACGGTGTAAACCGCTCTGGTTCCAACTGGATGAGTTTGATCCGGGGGAAGCGCAATCACACTCACCTCTCACTGCACAGCACATCGCTCCCTGGCGTCCACACTTCAGGTGCTCAGCAGCGCGCATCAGCTTTTTAAAATTTCTACACAGTTTGCACATGCGCATAGGCAATCTTTCATATAATTGAGATCTTCGCTCATGCGCATAACACCGTAGCCCGAAAAGCATGCCCTGAAGTGAAGACTTCCCTTTAAACTTTGACATTGAAACTGGGCTCGGTGAGGGCTGAAACTGGGCACTGTTTAAAGTTTGCTTTTACTAACGCCGGAGTGAAGCTTTGCCCAAGCGCACATCGCCTACGATTAAAAAAAAAAGGAGGATGAAAGGCGGAAGCCTCGGGCTTCCGAAAAGAAGTGGCTCTACACTGGCAGAGAGCGATCAGATGGGGAAAATGCGGCTAGAACTGGAGCACTCAGGAAAACACCACTTGGGGACCTAGTAGCAAACTACACCAGTTTAAGGGGTGTTTGCGATGGTTGGCAGCGGTTGGGGGCAGATGTGAGTGTGATCGCGCGTAAGTACTCTGTTTCTAACTGGCTTCTATACCAGCCTAAATGCCACGTCTGAACACACCCAGAGAGTAGTTCTCAATGGCATTTCATCTGAATGGAGGGAGGTATCCAGTGGGGTGCCACAGGGCTCGGTTCTGGGCCCAGTACTTTTCAATTTTTATAAATGATCTGGATGAGGGTGTGGAGGGGCTACTCATTAAATTTGCAGATAACACCAAATTGGGAGGAGCAGCGAACACACCAGAAGATAGAGATAGAATTCAATGAGATATGAACACACTGGAAAGGTGGGCAGATGTGAACAAGATGCAGTTTAACGATAAGTGCTGAGTTCTCAAATGGGTAACAAAAATGAGGAATACACATTCTGGATGGGGAATACACTTCTAAGTAGCAGTGTGTGTGAACTAGATCTTGGGGTACGGGTGGACCGAAAGTTAAATATGATCAGCCAGTGTGATGCAGCAACAGAAAAGGCTAATGCAATCTTGGGATGTATCAACAGAGGCATAACATCAAAATCACAAAGTGTCATAGTTTCACTGTATACTGCTTTGGTCAGGCCCTAGAGTATTGTGTGCAGTTCTGGAGGCCTTACTTCAAAAAGAATGTGGACAGAATGCAGCATGTGCAGAGAAGAGCAACGAGGATGATCGGGGGCCTGGAGACCAAGTTCTATGAGGAAAGGCTGAGGGACTTGGGAATGTTTAGTCTGGAGAAGAGGAGGCTGAGGGAGGATATGATTGCTCTCTTTAAGTATTTGAAGGGCTGTTACTTAGAGGAGGGCAGAGAGCTGTTCCTGTGAGGTCCATTTCTGTTCATAGGTGGAACAAACGAGTCAGCGGCAAGGACAGAAAAGGGTGGCCCAGAGCAACAGCTTTTGAAAAAACATAGCACTATGGATTTGTAAAGCCATTAGATATTGGGTTAATACTTGTGAGTTTAGCAACCTATGATCCTCAAAGCCAAAGACAGCTTCTTTCCCAGGTACTGTAATCCTCCTGACTACAATATATGGTGAATTAGCTGTTTTTGCAATCCAAGTTAGGCTGCAAAAACAGATTTACGGAGTCACTAATGGTTTTCAAGGCTAGGAGGCTGTGTTTGGCTTGTTAGGGCAAAAATTGTGCAGAGCTGCCTTGGAGGCTGACATGCAGTTCAGAAGCTAACTTGAAGCATGCCAGATTGAATCCATAGCATTAAATCTGCTTTGCATTTTTCACTTTTTTTTAAAAAAAATAGCATTTACAATGACTGTGGTCTGATTTTTTAGCATCTGTATTAACAGAGCATCACTACTTTAAAATAAATATTTAGTTCTAGTTTTCAAGTGCTCTCCTAGCAGAAGCTATGTTTGTTTCAGTGCGGAAGTCTTAAATTTAGTCTGCTTGAAACTTGCATGCAGCAGCTCTCAAAAGCTGAAAGGGATATTAACCATGAACAAGTGGAATGTTCTGGGGAAGGGCAGCATCCAAAGAGCACTCTGAGTCAAGGAAGAAAGCCGGATGGATGGGTGGGTGGGTGGGTGGGTGGATGGATGGATGGATGGCTAGATAGATAGATATAGATATACACACACGCACGCACACGCATTTAATAAATACAAAGTATTCAGAATTGACATATCTGGAAAGTGGGTTTCCAAAATCAACCTGAAATAGAAATAGCATATAGCAATAGGTTTTCCACACCCTAGTTTTAGACAATACCATATGCTCAGTGGTGCTACAGATTTTGCAAAACTGGGCAGGGGGTGGGGGAATGCCCTAAAACACGACAGACATTACTTTGTGAAAGGATTGCATAAGAAAGGTGGGCTCCAGTAAGCTTTTCTTAGCAATTAATAAGGGTTCCTCCTCTCCCAGTTCTTTCTCTGACAAATTTGGCAGCCAGAGAGAGAGATTTAATTAGTTAGTGTTGTTACCACGCTATTATTATTATTAGTTAGTTAGATTATTATCACACCTTTCTTCTAGGTGCTCAGGGTGCCATACATTCATTTCCTCTCCTCTATTATACCCTCACAACTACCCTGTGAGATTCAGTAGACTGAGAGAGAATGACTGTCCAAGGTCACCCAGCAAGCTTTCATGACACAGCAGGGATTTGAAGCTGTGTCTCTCAAACCTTAATCCAACATTGTAACCACTACATCAAACCGGAAGCAAGAAGAGAAACCTGCTTCTTGGCTTCTGCAGCAGCCCAAGTACCAGCTACCAGGCTTGATATTTCATCTGCTAATGGCTATATAGTGATTTTGTACTCCTGCATCATCTGACAGTATTTCTCACTTTGAGCGGTGGCTCCTCTCTGAGATACCCGAGTTCTAACCAGAAGTTTATTTTTTTAAAAAAGACCTGGCTGGCTTTCAGTCCAGAAGCCCATCTGATCTAGCATGCTATCACCAATAATGGTTTACTGGATCTAGTACTATGTGAAATTCCTGGGTAGAGCATGGCAATAATAGCCATGCCTCATTTATTCCTTGGCAGTTGAGGGTACATTGTTCCTAATCATGGCTTCTCACAGTCAGTATCCAGAGACAAGCTTATCTACAAAAAATGTAAGAATATTATTAACATTGGTTTTCCTAAACCCATTTGTCCGTCTTTTTTCCTTTCTCTGTAGGTGTTCCTATGGACCAGCCATGCTGTCGAGCTCTCTATGACTTTGATCCAGAAAATGAAGGGGAGCTGGGCTTTAAAGAGGGTGATCTCATTACCCTTACTAACCAGATTGATGAAAACTGGTATGAAGGTATGCTTCATGGCCAGTCGGGCTTTTTCCCCATCAATTATGTGGAAATTCTTGTTCCTTTGCCTCATTAGGATGGCTGAGTCACCCTGTCTTGAGTTCCCAACCCCCAAAAAAGTCATCTGTTGATACCACTGCTTATAAAATTAAATAAATGAATACGTAAAATGGCTGCTTACTCCACATCACAAGTCCAAGCTGCAGTGGTTTTAAAAAAAGTCGCCAGGCCCCAGAGACAGTCTTTGGTTTTCGTGTTGTTGTGCCGCATAGTGGTGATACGTGGTATCTTCTCAAAGCAACACAGCTGGGCACACGTGATTTTCACATGACACTCGTGGTTGCCATGGAGATGTCGTTTTCACAGTGATGGGGATCAAAGTTGGTGGCAAGAGATGCGACTCAGTAATACTGTTGCAGAGGGCCAAGTGGTTGGATTATCAGAGAAGATAAAGCCTATCACCACTCTACTGTAATTTTAGTTCTCTGTGCAAGAGGGAGAAATGTCCTTGGTCATTCCATCTTTCCCATCCCAAGGGACATGGTTTTTGCAGACCTAATGTTGCTAACCAGCTTTTCGTGTCTTCTCATCTCAAAAATGACTTTGAGTCCTGCCCTTGGAGAAACAGCATAGTGTGTTACTCTGGTTTCTCAAAAAATGAGCTGCTGCCATCTCGTACATGGTTGGCGTGGAGCCAGCTTTTATATACTATGGTATTTAATAAAGAGCCTGTTCAGTATCCAGGTTAAATTGTTAAAAGTATCCAAAGGATAGACCAGTGAAACAAAGTGTATGACTGCAAGTCAAATATGGCTGTTCAGAAATTCTGAACATAATAACCATAATGCCACCAGCAAATACATGTTGCTAGAGGGAAAATAAATGTAACCGTTGTTCACTTCATAAAATGTCTGGGCACAAATACCGCTTACAATTGTAAACACCAAGAGTCCTTATTCTACATAGTCCCTAAAAAAATTAATGAAAAGCAACTCTCACCGTGTATTTTTATTTTCATCTACCTTGTGTTCTTTGAACATCATTTATGTATATTCTGCCCTCAATGAGGACTAAATAAAAACAATCTTTGTGCTAAGCAATTAAAGCAACATGTGGCTATATATGCAAAAATGTTTGGGGTTTAATTTCTCTAAATGTTCCTGTTTGGTTCCCCCCCCCCCAGTCCTATTCTCTGCATTTTTGTGTGGATAGTGTTGTGTCTAGCCAATTCTCTGTTCCTTTTGGTAACTGTTGTAAGACCTTGTTTAATTTGGATTATCCAGAGTTCTATTTATCTATAGATACCTGTACAGACTCTTCCTGCACTGCTCCGGATGTGCCACTTCAGTATTGGATCATGTGAAATGAAGCAATCCTCCAGCTTTTAATGTACAAACTATATCATGGAAAGCATTGATATTTAAAATAAAAAAGTGCTGACTGACTAGCCAGAACAACACTGTGTGCTTTTTCCTTTTCGTTCTAATTCAGGCTATTGCAAAACCAGCACACTCTCAGCCTGTGGGTGGTAAGAGTCATCTGGCAGCTAGCAGCTAATCTACTCTGTCATCACAACAGCAAGGCTTGGCCTCTGGCTGCCATGGCTTAGCTGCTCTGATGTCACAGAGGAGGTGAATGGCTTTAGGCCCAGTGTCACAGTGCTCAGGGGCACTGGGAAAACCTTAGACACTTTTTGGCAAATAAAGCTGCAAATGCATTACTTGCAGAGCTTTGGCTTCCCAACAACACCTTGGTGTCAGTTGAATGGGTTTTTTTTTTCTGGAACCTTTAATGAAAACACATAGATAGTGCTTTCTGCTTATGTAAGGAATGGGCCACTATGTACTCAGAGTCTGACTTCGGCCTGAAACAATAACTTGGTTCCTGTTTGGACCATCTGCAAGATTATGTCTTCCTGCTTCAAAACAGTAATGAGCTCTTTAAGATCAACGTAATGGCGATGTTAATCTAAGAACAATCAAAGTCTGTGGAACCAATGGCCACAGAGCTCAAAGCACTATGATGAGTCACAAACCAATCCACCCCGCAGCCTACAATGTACTACTGAATATTTATTTACAGTGCAATCTAGTAGAGTGGTACCATTCTAAAACCATTAATTTTAAAGGACTTAGAAAGGTGCAGCATGGCTTAGAATTGCATTATTAGATAACAAGCTCTCACAACAAACATATAGTTACCCCAAAGTCCTATAAACACACCCATGCTAGCTTTCCTCATTCTTTCCAATGGACATTAGCTATTCTCTCACCACTCCACATTCTATATAGACTTAAGAGTAATCCTTCATTCCTTTCATTAACCACACATTTTATTTACTTATCTCTCCTTATATATAATGCTGTTTTGGAGTGAACGTTCCATACGCTCCCACAGCATTTGGCTTGCTCAGCCACCCTTCGAAAGGTCTGCCGATCCCCTGGCTGCATTGCCTCACTGCGTTGCCTCAGTCCCACCCACAGAGCTGGTGGCTAGCGTCTCGGCCTCAGTCTGGAGGGAGCAGGCAAAGGGGATGGACATTCCGCTGGGCGGAGGTTTAGGAGGCAGCCCAGTGTAGTACAGGAGAGCTCCCCACTGATTATGAGTGACAGGGATTCCCTTTTCTCCTCCATGCTTCCTCCTCAGGTGTTCCTTCAGCAGCAACTCCTCCATGGCCCAAAAGGGAAACAGAGGAGGGGCCGCCAGGAAGGATGCCAATGGGCAGGGGACTTCATAAGGCGAGCCTGATGACTGGCCAGAAAGGCTGCACAGGAGAAAGACGACCTAGGGAGTGGTGGCAATGTTATGCCAACTTCTCCAGGAAATTCCTGGAGACCCAATCCAAGTTATCTACCAAGGAAAATTGGGTGTTTGTGGCTGTGCGTAAGTTCTATACCAGTCTATACAGAGGTCGGATGGCGAATGAGACGCTCGCTGTATCCCAGGAAGTGAGACAACACGCTAGTCCTTAAATAAATGTTGTCTTTACTAAAGGTTTTTCATCAGGCATACAAAATCGGAATCACACAAATTCATACAAGCTCCTTAGTTACAATAGTACATTAGAACAATTACAGCATAGAAAATAACAAAAGCATCAAAATGGGGATGACACAATGGGGCACGGCTATACTCATCTGAGGTCCAGCTGAGGAAGAACTCTCCTCCTTGGAACGCTGGGCAGCCGAAATGCAGCAGCTTGTGAACTCCAAGGCACACAGGTAGGACCAGCCAAACCACGTGTGAGCTCTCTGGGTCGCGACTCCGGAGAACTTAGGTAGTAGAGTCACTTGTAGCACCTTAGTGTACTGCTATGGGGAGGGTGGGTTAACCAGAGAGACAAAGGAGAGTTTCTCCTTAAATAAACTCTTTTTGGGGCATGTGCTATCCAGCCATAAACTATCAAACCCGTCCTCTAAACTATCACTACTGGATGAAGAGGGGGTGACGAGGGGATGACGAGGGGATGACGCTCTCCTAAGGGGTGGTGGCAATATGCAGATCCTACTCCTACATCAAAGGTGCCTTTTGGCAAGGTGTGAATCTTCCGTTCCCATGGACACCTCTTGATTTGCAGATCTGGTTCCTGCTCCAAAGCCATAAACGCTATTGTCTTTAGATCTCCAAACCAGATTAAGGGAGTAGGGTCACTTGCTCTTTCCATTCCAAGAATGCCGGGGTTCGCTGGGGATTTTCCATAGCTCTCCAAGTGGGTGCAATGGCGCGGTGTCTTCTCCATCCCAAAGAGTCATGGGATACATTCCAGGGACGCACATGGTCCGTATGTGCAACGGCAGGCCCAGGCCAGCCTATTTCTAGGCAAGCATGAGATGCAGAACAAAGCAACACACAACATACAGCAATCCCTGAATACATATTGCATAGGTATTCATGCTAGAGACACACATAAGCAGCATCACCACTATACAGAAATACAAACATAAGCTCATATCGTTACAGTCCCCCCTTTCGCGGCGGCAGAACTAAAAGTTCGGCCTGCCACGACAACAAAACATTGAGTCCACGTGGCGGGTGCCACTCCAAGGCGCTGGCATGGAAGTGAAACGTCATCATGCCAGGCAGGTGCAAAAGAATGTCCAAGTCCATGCGTTGGTGACCCCTATGTGATCTGGTTTGGTGTGGTCATGAACAGAGTCCGGGTCCATGACAGGCAACGTCAGCAGAAAGAGCAGGCAGGCAGGCGGACACGTCTTCGGTGTCGGGGTGTCGCCATCCAGACAGAGGCATCCGTGCTTCCTGTCTAAATCTAGCTAACGTTGGAGGACGGGTTTCTTTCCTTTGAAAAGGGAAAAATACCAAGACCTGTCCTATACTTACCAAAAATGCCAAATCAAAATAGGGGGGGGGCAGCAGCAATGACGTCAGACAAGTAAGAGCCGTGGGTGTTCACTTCAGATGTGCATGTGATGCCCTAGTGACAGCTCAATGCATGTCAAACCTGCTTGCATGGAAACAAAACAACAAAACAGTTAATTCACAGCTAAACCACAAGGCATGGTGTGCAAACAGTCCCAGTTTCCCAGGAATAAAGCAGCCTTCACCGATCCCTGAGTAAAACAACCCCATCGTCTCCCTAAGCGGAGGCGGTCCGTGGGATTCATTGAGGCAAGCAGCAATAAACAGTAGCAGCATTCACGCAGCCGCGTGTAGTGTCGGTGTTTGGGCGAAAGAGGGCTTCCAGTACCGTGCCAGTCCTGGCAGGGGAGGGGGTCCTCTCACTGGTGGGGGCATGGTTATGCATATGCAAATCGTCTCCCCCCTTTGCTTCCCAAAGCACCTTGGGACTCGCAGATCCCATGATAAACACAATTTATTTAAAGCAGACTAAGCCGGTGAGTGCACTCCTAGGCACACTATAGACATTTTCGGGAGGTCTTATTCAAGATAAAACAACGGTCGCGTGTTCTCGCCGGTGCACCATGATCGCAAACACAGTCTGGCTACAACACCTCCTAGGCTCGGTCTCCATCGGCCATTCCTACTGAATGGGCCAAACCATCGCACAAGGAACCTGAACTCGTGCGCTGTGTGGTGCAGAGCCATGGGATCCCTGGTTGGCTTATAGGTTTGGTGAACTCCGCCTCGAGGTCTAGACCTCTTTTAGCTAGAGGACGAGTGAAGCCTCTGCTGTGATCCGATTTCAAATGGATTACCAGTTTTAAACACTCGAGGGTCCCCTCCGGGGGACTCTCTCCCACTCCCAGTCAAGAATAGAAAGTCACAAACAAAAGGATTCCCCCCTTTGGGCCAGTGCCGGTGGCACAATCCAAGGTTCCATTCGGATGCATGGGGATCTCCTTATAAGGAAGGATCGGCCGACGGCCGTGCCCGAGGCCGTTCGTGCGCTCGGACAGCGAAGCGTATGCAGATTAGCAACACGCTAAGCCTCCTGGGTCCAGTTTAAATCATTGAGTAAACAACTCTAAACAAGCAAAGCAATTGCAATACATTTGGAAAACATAGCAAGAAACAACACAGAATCGGGCTGTCGGCTGACAGGCAGACCGACAAACGAACTCTCCGTCGCCATGATTTGCATAGCAGGCGGTGCGATTTAGTGCAGTGGATGAGGCCAGCACCGATTAAGCTCGGGCTTAGGTTCGGCTTGAAGTCAGGCCACGCCAGGGCTCCTCCCTCACCAAGGGGAAGGAGGCTGCACACCTCGGCGCAGGCTGGATTCGCCAAACCTATAACGCAGCCATGGTTTCCAGGCCGCTTAAAGACAACTGGGTGTCAAATTTCTCAGGCTCATCCCTACACACGCTCGAGTTCGGTTCACCCCCCAAGGGGGTGTTCCCACGAAACTGGTTGAAAGGAAAGATTGGAATTTGGAACAAAAGAAAAATCCTCCGAATTGAAAGAAAAATCTTTTGAACGGGAGCCGCTTGTGTCGCTAAGCAGCTCACTCAATAGATAGAGGGGGGCAGGAGGAGCGGTGCAGACACACCTCCAACCAAAAGAAATAGAGAGGTCCCAATGGTGGAACCAAAGGACTTCACAGGGCGTTGAGGTAGTTCCCGGTCATCTTCTTCGTGCAGCACAAACGCTGCTAGGGCGCAGCCTTTGTAAAGGCTGGCCCTTTAATTCCGAGCCGCAGAACGCGGCGGCGGTGGCGATGGAAGGGTTCTCTCCTGACAGCACCTATGAGCATAGA